AGCATTATAATTAAGAACCATAACATGTTGTCCAATAGCTAGCGGGAAAAGAACTTCAATGTACGCCAGCTTTCCCACGCAGTACGTCACAAAGCCCATGGCCATGCTTTTGGCTTAAGAGTTAATTAGCGCAGTGCAAGTTGTTTTATGTGAAGGAGTTTTTAATTATTGATTACAGTAAGGCTCAGTTTTTGTAATGCTATACTGGGAAAATAGTCACATTTTTAGGGGTATACTTTACTATGCTTTAAGCTGAATAATTTGACCGGCCAGAAATTCGGTATGTCCGAGCTAAAATTGAATTGGTCGGTCACCTTGACCGGCGATCCTCCAGCCGTTATCTTCGCGCCCTGCCTTACATTCCATTACACCTATATGCCCAACATTAATAATTTAATTAATAAGCGTTCAATCTGATAAATGTTTAATTAAATTATTTAAATCTTGGAAATTCTCCAATAGGGAGAGGGGTGTTTATCACATAAGAGGCTTTTTAAAGAGAGACGCGTCTATTTTAGCAAAGTCTGGGTTGACCGGTGAGTCTATTAGATAGAAGGCGTTTATTAGAGAGTGGGCGTTTATTGGATCATTTATGATATTCATGCAAAGGCGAATAAGAAGCTTATATGGAGAGTTTTTCAGTTGCGAGGTTTTACCACAGCAGTTGCGCGATGTCTTTTTTCCTTCATCCCTGGCAGTTTTCTCCAATGATCATCTCCCATTGTGAAACTTTCTACTGAGTTGAGATGCCCCTCCTCCTTATTTCTTCCTCCCAATACAACAATGACGTCATGCATAATTACTGCTGAGGAACCATACCTCTTGTGTATCAGTGGAGGCAACTTATGACTTTGTTCTGATTCAGTATCATATATGGTGACTTCATTTAAGACCTGGCCATTCTTATCCTGCCCGCCAATAAGTATGACCATGTTGCCCCAAGTAACTGTGGACATTTCCCAGACAGGCTTGGGTAACGATGGACATGGTTTGAACTTATTCTTGGTGAAATCATACACGACAACGCTATCAATGGCGTCTTTACTATAGCCTGTTGTCGAACCTCCCAAGATAAATAGTTTCCCATTTACCATCTCTGCTTTGTGGTTTCTTCTTCGCTGAGGCATTTTAGCCAGCAGTTTGGCAGCATAAGGTGGGATAATAGAAAGCTCGTAAATGTTATCGGTTGTTTTCTTTTCACTCCCGTTATATCCTCCTATGACGTATATTTTGCTTTGATAAACTATAACGTCATGACCAGATAATTTGACCGGCAGTTTACCATCAATCAACTTCCATCGCAAAGGATTCTGGTTTATCTTTAAAATCTCAATGCTGTCTGTACCAGCTTGATCATCGAAGCCGCCAGTGATGATGACGTCACCGTTGTAAACACATGATGCTGATTCTGCTCGAGGGTGATTGAGTTTGGGTAACTGAGTCGACTTCCACTCTACTGCGTTGAATTTCTCAACTGTATTCAATACACTTTCATTTCCCGCGGCATAATAACCGCCAATGATAATAATGTCTTGGTTGTTGACTGGAACTGGTGGATCTAAATCTTGAGCACCATTGTTGTTTATATTTCTTTCTTGAAACAGCTGATTCAATATTACTGTCATTCTTTCAAAATCGTTTTTTACCTCAGCTTTAAACGCTATTTGATCTGCTTTCATTTCTGCTTGAGTTTGCTTCATCTCGTCAACATGATCCTGAATAATAAAATTAAAAACTTGCATATCTAGGTTCCGGTGGTAATGGTCAGATATTTCAGAGATGTCACTGCATACTTTTTGATAGAAGTGTTAGGATATCTCGAGATGACTACAAATACGAATGACATGCACGAGTGACAAAAAAGCCGCTTCGCGATATATAGCAGAATTATTATAAAAGGCGAAAAAGTGCTATAACTAATATGCTAAGCTAATATCTTTGCTGACTAAGTTTGAATTATACTGATGATTTTCATTTTATTCGCAGCAAACGTTTCTTTGTCACTCATGCTCGAATATGGTCCGCTGAGGTGTATTTTTGAATCAGATGAAATGATAAACTGTGGTTAAATTAATACATAAGTAAAAACTAATCTTGTAATTGTTCTACTTTGTGGAAAACAGCAGATTCTGACATTCTGTTTGACGAAGCTACCAATCCGTAAGCCCGGATATGAAGCGAGTCTTCTTGATGAAGATGTTGACCAATAACTTGGGAATGATAGCCTGTGTTCCAGTCGACTCACCGTTGTGTGTAGTGGACTGGAAGACAGGCTAGAGAACGAAAGGTTTGGCAAGTAGATAAATGTAGCTATATACACGAGCTTAAAAAGCTCCACACAATGTTGTCTTACCTTCATTTGATTTACTTTAACATTTATAACATTTTGAGAATGCTTGATCTCGTCAATATTTTCCTAAATTAAAGTAGAAGTGTTAAGATATCTGAGATGTGACGCTGCTAATGATCACGAGTGACCAGGACCACACGAGTGAATGCCCGGCACGATGTGCATTGATGTGCATTCATCAATAAAAATGTGCATTGATGAAGATGTGGGCTTAGCTTGGGAATGATAGTCTGTGTTCCAGTCTACTCAACCGTTGTGTGTAGTGGACTGGAAGACAGGCTAGGGAATGGAAGGTTTGGTAGGTAGATAAATGTAGCTACATCAGCCTAAAGAAGCTCGACACAATTTAGTCTTACCTTCATTTGATTTACTTTATCATTTATAACATTTTGAGATTGCTTCATTTCGTCAACATTTTGCTAAAATAAAGTAGAAGTGTTAAGATATCTCAGAGGTGACACTGTCCGCAAATTCCCACGGGTTACAACCTGTTCAGAATAGCAGAATTGTGATGAGAGTATTACGTGGGGGATTCGACAAGAATTATTATTATGTATTGTTTCATTGCATATTTTGGGGAATTATTGCGAACAAATATTCGTGCAGGGATCTACATAACATGTATATTTCAGCTACCAAACGTATTTTTGCACGCCTTGCTTTTCAACTGTGACTGTTGTGACATGACATTAAATAGATACGTTGTATCATGACATTAAATAGATACGTCTATAGTCTTTATATTTATTACAACCGAACTTGTCTATCCAAAATGAGTAAAACTGCATGGACATGCAAGATGAAGTACTAACCACCTACAGGGCCAAAACCTAGCGGGCGCAAAAGTAGACATATAAGAATCGCCTATAGTCTAACTGCGCAAAAATCTTGTCTTTACCTTAACTCGATCGTGACTTGCTTTCATTTCATCTTGACTTGCTTTAATATCTTTGCACTCGTGGCACTTGGTGATTCTAAACTGGCAGAGTCCTTGCTGATGGATTTGTTTATCTCTTTTATTGACCACCGTCCCACATCCTTCATTTCCGCACATAACAGGCGCGAAGCCACATCGCTCAACATGATGCTGTAAATTTCCAAGCTGGACGTAGCCCGGACATCCTCGCTCATTGTAATCACACTTGATTTTCAGTTCTGATAAGGTATTCTTTAAAAATCTCGGTGGATCTTTGAGGGTTTCTGGGGTCAGGTGTTCTCTGCATTCAGGACATGTGTGGGAATTACGAAGATGTTGAGATATACAAGAAAGACAAAATGGATGTTCTTTATTCTGGCAAGATCGTGGATTTCTGAGCACCCCTTGACAAATAGAGCAAAATAAATCTTCTCTGACTCGACCTTCAAAGCGTCTGTCATCATAGCCTTGCTCGTCACTCTCTATTCTATACGCCATCGTTGAACGTCTAAAAAAGTTGAAAACAATTTTGTTAGATTAAATATATTGCTTGGATGGAACACTACTTAGCTTATCTCGAAAGCCACTCAACCGAAATGGGAAGTTGAAGCTACTAAAGTTTTTACTTTTTTTCTTTAGTTTTAAAGTTATTTGCAGGGCTCTGCTTTTATCTTTCAAACAAAGATATTCTAAATAAAAAATCAAATCTTTGGGCTACATGTTTTGGAGTTACTCAGTAGCCTAACAGTTACGTCAATTATAATCAGTGGTATATAACTGAAATAGTAACAGGGGGGCTCTTAAAGTGGGCGGGGTTGCAACATGATAAACATGGAAAATTTCAATGTCTATGTTTGATTCTAGTCACTCTTCAATTAGCATTTTTCGAAGAAAGGACTTAACTTCAAATAAAAGATTCCGAAATACCGAAGCATTTAATGTTGTTGTCACATAATAAGTAATTAGTACCATTTCTATAAATTCCCATGTGAATTTGAAACTTCAATCTTGTTTATAAATAGATCCATATATATTCGCTTTCTATAGGGTTTACAAAGTTGGACATGTTACTCAATCTTGAGATTTGATTGGATGCAAAGCTCATGAATTCTTCATGATTTCGTAAGTAACTTGTGAAATTAATCAATTCATATACAATATCTTTACCAAACTCGTAGTGGGCATGCTATGCAATTTTCTTATTCAAAGCGACATGTTTTTGTCCTCTGTCTAAATGTACGTTGATCAGCATAGCATGACCAGTTGCCATGGCTAGCTTCCGCCACTTGTCGTGAACAGACGTGCGTGCAAAGCATATAATTTTATATTCGTGAATTTCGACAGTAATGTAACATGGAAGTAAAATTATTTACCTAACGATAAAATCCAGCAAATGATTTCCTTTAAGTCTTTATCATGGTCAGCACCAACAACAAAACTGATTACTTTGTTATAGTGATCACAGAGCTCAAAGACTTTTCTTCAAAAATATATCTGCAAATAATGTGAATAAACATATTAGGATGTTGTAATATATAGAATTGCACAAAAAGTATCCAACTATATACATGTTCTATTTTTACAAACATTCCGTAAATTCTCCACATTTTTATACCAAGCATTTCAGTTGGCTTTAATGATAAAATCTAACTCCAAAAACTAATTCAAACAAGAGATTAAAACTCTCAACAGTGACAGAATCCAATAGTTGTGCGCTCATTTACCTTCTGGCCTATTACTTCTATGTAAATTGGTGATGAGTTCTTATCCTTTATAAATAGACGAGATTTAAACTCTTAACCTTCAGGAATCTAGTCAACTGCATGCTCTATACCTGTTGAGCTATCAAGTCTACAGAGATTCACGATGAGTTCTTATCTTTTATAAGTAGACGAGATTTAAACTCTGAACCTTCAGGAATCTAGTCCACGGCATGCTCTACCTGTTGAGCTATCAAGTCTACAGAGATTGGTGATGAGTTCTTATCCTTTATAAGTAGACGAGATTTAAACTCTCAACCTTCAGGAATCTAGTCCACTGCTCTACCTGTTGAGCTATCAAGTCTACAGAGATTGGTGATGAGTGCTTATCCTTTATCAGTACACGATAATTAAACTCTCAACTTTCAGGAATCCAGTCCACTGCTCTACCTGTTGAGCTATCAAGTCTACAGAGATTGGTGATGAGTTCTTATCCTTTATAAGTAGACGAGATTTAAACTCTCAACCTTCAGGAATCCAGTTAACTGCTTTACCTTTTGAGCTATGAAGTCTACAGAGACAGGTGATGAGTTCTTATCCTTTATAAGTATACGAGATTTAAACTCTCAACTTTCAGGAATCTAGTCCACTGCTCTACCTGTTGAGCTATCAAGTCTACAGAGATTGGTGATGAGTTCTTATCCTTTATAAGTGCACGAGATTTCAACTCTGAACCTTCAGGAATCTAGTCCACTGCTCTACCTGTTGAGCTATCAAGTCTACCGAGATTGGTGATGAGTTCTTATCCTTTATAAGTGCACGAGATTTCAACTCTGAACCTTCAGGAATCTAGTCCACTGTTCTACCTGTTGAGCTATTAAGGCTATATACAGCGATTGGTGATGAGGATGAAATTAGACTTACCAAAGTTCACGAATGCTGACAAATAGGTAATCCTTGAAGATTCAGCAACAAATTGATGTGAACGGCTTCGACTGTATTTTGTATTTGAGACAACACCTTAGTTGTCGTAATACTGCATAAAAATAACTGATGATTTATTAAAGCGTCATGTCTCATACCCTCATGTGGAGATAACTGATTTGGTTTGACAATACCATTTGAACCATCATGCTGTGAGGATTGATATATCTTGAGATATTTGCATCTCTTTAGAATTCCCAGTATCGGTTTGTAGTTCCGAGTATCGCCTTGGACTTTGCTTCATATCGAAACAACAGTTCCGAATAAGAGATAGTTTTAAAGATTTATTGTAACTATATTTGCATGTCAAAGTCACTAAACAAAGTTAAACTTCATTAAGTATTGTACTATATATATCTTGGCCTGTCAACTTTGTACATTTGAAAATTTGCATTTCAGTTCTTTGTATTGTGTCATGGCGATAATATAATATTTGTTTTGGCTTGTGGAACACGCCAGGTACATTTATTATTGCAAAGCTTTCAATTCTGAGTCGAGGTCTTCATCAGTGCTAATAATATATTATTATAGCATTGATGAAATTCCGGGTTTACTGATCGAAAGCTTTGCAATAATAAATAAACAAACCAAAACAAATAATTTTGCATTTGTTACAAACTCCAGGTCATATCTTGAAATTCCATATATCAACATACGAACTATTTTTTGACCTCTGACTACGTCAATGAACACAAGATCTTCGTGGTTGCATTAGCCATGCAAATTGCGGCCATGTCAGTGCTAACATCCATCGGGTTTTCCTGGGATTACATCAGAAATTGACAAACCTACGTCTTATATAGTCGTGTTTATATATACCATAAACTGGTACACTTTATTCCTCCAATGCAGCTGAGATAATATCGCGTTTAAGGTGGCTCGCTACAGTTTATAGAAATGTTGAAAATGCGTAAACTAGATCACCTTTTTGAAGAGATGATGCTCTTTACAAATCGAAATTTGTATATTATATATACAGCGACAATCAAACAGTCGAAAATTGGTCAGAAAAGTGATGTCACCACTGTTGCTATGGCAACAATGACGATTCAACATGGCCGACATTTTGGCTTTGAACGCATTTTACTTTAAAAAAGGTCGGTTACTCCCATTTTTTATTTCAGAAAACATTTTCTTATAGTGCAATGCACTATCTGACCAATTTTAAAAAAATTCTGTAATGCAAAAAAAAATTATTTCGAAATACCATGTTTATAAATTTTTAAAAATTTTGGCATTACAGAATTTTTTTAAAATTGGTCAGATAGTGTATTGTACTATAAGAAAATGTTTTCGGAAATAAAAAATGGGGGCAACCGACCTTTTTTTAAAGTAAAATGCGTTCAAAGCCAAAATATCGGCCATCTTGAATCGTCATTGTTGCCATAGCAACAGTAGTGACGTCACTTTTCTGAGCACTTTTCGACTGTTTGATTGTCGCTGTATATATAATATACAAATTACGATTTGTAAAGAGCATCATCATCTCTTCAAAAAGGTGATCTAGTTTACGCATTTTCAACACTTCTATAAACTGTAGCGAGCCACAAATCTTTAAGGTTACATGATACCATAGATCTTCAAAAATTCAAAAAAAATATTACATATTCTTGTAGCTTAGAATATATCTGTCGAAAGGAAAAGTTTCAACTGATCTTTCAAATTAAACAAATTATCAAGTAAAACGGTTTTCGAAGACTATATGCTCGGCGGGGAAAAGTAATTAGCATTAAAGTCAATTTTCAAACGCACCAATTTGGAGTCGTATACCGGCGCACTAAAACTGCGACGTTAAGCGTGCGTTTTAACCGATTGTTTTTAAATTTTCACACATTGTAGATGTATGTCTTGGCTACGAAAGTGTGTTCGCGCGATCTTTACAGGCCTTTAGTTGCAAAGTTATAAGCCTGTTGTTGTGCTTTGGTTGCAATATAACACAAGTCGGAAAAGACTATATGCCTTAGCTAAGTTACGCCTAACGCTACAATAAAAAGCGAACACAGTTTTTTAGAACAGTCCTCGGGAAGGGTACAAATTATGCGTTGACAGGTTTTTTTAGTGAAACTGGCGTTTAACGTAGATCGCGGCGCAAATGTACCGCAAACTTAGACTTATTGTAGCAATATTCGGGAAAATTATTTTTTCGTATATTTTGTAACACTGTGTTAATCTTCATTTATCTTGACTACATTTGGCGAAAATTTGATAGAAATTGGATAAAAATTCCCCGACTAATGGTAGATCTCCCGAAACGCGTGTCTAGGGTGTTCTGTAACCTTAACTTTGTTAAAAAAATAGTCGCTGAAAGGGAAGAGAGATATTAGGTTTGTTGTCTTGCAAAAGTTCTCTGTCTTCGCAACGGAATTACAGTAGCGTATATTGCCAGAGATCAAATGGTAGAACGGATAACTCTACTGTTAAATGTCATTTTCCAGTCAAAATGGCAATCTGAAAAAATTAAAACTAACAAACGAACAGAAACAAGACCGATAATATGTTCTGATATTACAACACTATACAAAATAATCATACCCACAATACAAAATAATCATATCGATCGCCATCAAAACTCACAAAAAATTAATCTTTATTACGACTGTACATTTATACACTTATTTCAAATCATTTTAATAGTTCTACTTCTTACTAATGTCAATGTTCAGATTAAAATGTTTTTGTTCAATAAAAGGTATATTAGCATGCTAAGTTTTTTTTCAACGAAATTACATGTTCAATATTTAAACAGAGATTATATAGGTTATATATAAAACTTTTACATGATTAATCAATTTGATGAAAATCATTGTTTAAACAAATACTAGTTATAGGAAAAGTAATTTATACATGCAATATTTACATAGAAATTATACAAGTTATATATAAAGTGGAAACACAATACGCTTCACAGCAAAGTTAACCCACTGATCTGAAAACACTGGATGGAGTTTCCTTTTGTATTCAATAAACCAATTTTGAAGTCAGAATATTTATACTAAGATGAGATCTTAAAGTCTGTCAAAATCTCTGCAAACTGGATCACGATGGGTTTAAATTAGGTACATTAAGAAGCAAATGTCTTTTCCTATGTAACTTAAAAAATATAGCTTTCCATATTTCTTCTAATGAGTTTTAGAACGTTTTAAACACTAGATAATGAGACTTGTAGCAGCCATCTTGGTGTGACATCAGTTATTCACGAGCAAATTTAAGGGGACGAGAGACGACTGTTGATAAATTTCTATTCAGACAATGTTTATCCTTTCTCAGCGATAACTAGAAACTGTAAGAACCTCTTACACTATGTCATCAACACCACAGTAGATTTGTGTTGCTCACATCAATATGGCCGACATTGTCTTCATTTCTGCATAGCGGATGCACTATCCAGCGCTAGGTTTGAGATCAGCGAGTTAACCCAAGTGCAGGTCATTGATGATGGTTATAATTTCATGTCGTGTAGATACTAAATATGCAAATGAAAGGGAAATAAATAACATTGACTGAAGCCTGAGCATTAAACAACCCCGAACCGTAACCATCATTGAAGGGTTAGAACTCAGGGCCGGTGTTTTATGATCAGGTTTCAGTCAATGTTATTTATTTTCTTTTGTGCGCATATTTAGTATCTACAGGACATGAAATTATAAATATGATGATCAACTCTCATGGCACAAAGTACCGTAAATGATCCAATGAACGCCCTGGGCGTTGATTAAATTTTCGTATCTTGAAGGGGGCGTTTATTAGATAAAGGCGTCTATTACAGAGGGGCGTTTATTCTTACATACGGCATATCTAGGTTTCTTAAATAACACTTTCCAAGAGTTTGCAGAGTGAACGAAAGTCAAAATCTTCAACTGTCATAGCTCTTATATTCTATTACACCTATATGCCCAACATTAATAATTTAATAAGCGTTCGATCTAATAAATGTTTAATTAAATTATTTAAATCTTGGGAACTCTCCAGTAGGGAGAAGGGCGTTTATCACATGAGAGGCTTTTTAAAGAGAGACGCATCTGTTTTGACAAAGTCTGGGTTGACCGCGGTGTCTATTAGATAGAAAGCGTTTATTAGAAAGTGGGCGTTTATTGGATTATTTATGATACACTGTATTCATGCAAAGGCGAATAAGAAGTTTATATGGAGAGCTTTTCAGTTGCGAGGTTTTACTACAGCAGTTGCCAAATGTCTTTTTTCCTTCATTGCTGGCAGTTCTCTCCAATGATCACCTCCCATTGTGAAACTTTCTAGTGAATTGAGATGCCCTTCCTCCTTATTCCATCCTCCCAATACAACAATGACGTCATGCATAATTACTGCTGAGGAACCGAACCTCTTGTGTATCAGTGGAGGCAACTTCTGACTTTGTCCTGATTCAATGTCATACATGGTGACTTCATTTAAGACCTGGTCATTCTTATCCTGCCCGCCAATAAGTATCACCATGTTACCCCAAGTAACTGTGGACATTCCCCAGACAGCCTTGAGTAACGAAGGACATGGTTTGAGCTCATTCTTGATGAAATCATACACGACAACGCTATCAATGGCGCCTTTACTAAGGTTTGTTGTCGATCCTCCCAAGATAAATAGTTTTCCATTTACAATCTCTGCTCTGTGGTTTCTTCTTGACTGAGGCATTCTAGCCAGCAGCTTGGCAGTATAAGGCGGGATAATAGAAAGCTCGTAGATTTTATCGGTTGTTTTCTTTTCTCTTGCGTTAAATCCTCCTATGATGTATAGTTTGCCTTGATAAATTATAACTTCATGACTAGATAACTTCACCGGCAGTTTACCATCAAACATCGTCCATCGCAAAGGATCCTGCTTCATCTTTAAAATCTCAATGCTGTCTGTACTAGCTTGACCATCGTAACCGCCAGCGATGATGACGTCACCGTTGTAAAGACATGATGCTGAATTTCCTCGAGGGTGATTGAGTTTTGGTAACTGAGTCGACTTCCCTTCTACTATGTTGAATTTCTCAACTCTATTCAATACACGTTCCATTTCTGGGGCATACCAACCGCCAATTATTATAATGTCTTGGTTGTTGACTGGAACTGGTGGATCCAAAGCTTGAGCATCATTGTTGTTTCTATTTCTTCCTTCCAACAGCTGATTTAACATTTCTGTCATTCTTCCAAATTGGTTTCTTGCCTCGGCTTCAAATGCCATTTGATCTGCTTTCATTTCTGCTTGAGTTTGCTTTATCTCGTCAACATTATCCTGAATAGTAAAATTAAAAACTTGTATATCTAGGTTGCGGTGTTAATGGTCAGATATCACGGAGATGACACTGCATACATTTTGATAAAATGTGGTTCACGCAGTGAGTAAAAATACATAACTCATAATTGTTCTGTTTTGTGAAAAACATCAGATAGATTGTTTTTTTACCAAGCTTGCAATCCGTATAAGCTCAAAATCATATGTGCAATGATGAAAATCTTAGGGCTTATAGATTGAAAGCTTTCCCACGTTTTGAAGTAGACGTATGTAGCGTTTTTACCAGTGAAACATGCAGAATTGTTCGCATAATAAGCCTTAAAAGCACCCAACATAATCTTGTATTACCTTCATTTTATTTACTTTGACATTTATAACTTCCTGAGATTGCTTCATCACGTCACCATTTTCCTAAATGAAAGTAGAAGTGTTAAGATATCTGAGAGATGACAACAAATACGAATGACATGCAGGAGTGACAAAAAAGCCGCTTCGGAATATATAGCAGAATTATTATAAAAGGCGAAAAAGTACTGTAATAAAAATAATATCTTTGCTGAGTGCTGAGGTTTGAATTATACTTATAATCAAATTACAGCAAACATTTCTTTATTACTCGTGGTCAAACGTGGTTCACTCAGGTGTATTTTTGAATCAGAACAAATGATAAACTGTGGTTAATACAGTAAGTAAAAAATAATCTTATAATTGTCCTATTTTTTGGAAAACAGCAGATTCTGTTTGACGAAGCGTCCAATCTGTAAGCTAGGATATGAAGCGAGTCGTCATCGTTAAAAAAGTGCATTGATGAAGATGTTGACTTAGCTGGGGAATGATAGTCTGTGTTCCAGTCCTCTCAACCGTTGTGTGTATTGGACTGGAAGACAGGCTAGGGAATGAAAGGTTTGACAAGTAGATAAATGTAGCTACATGAGCCTAAAGAAACTCGGCACAATTTTGTCTTACCTTCATTTGATTTACTTTATCATTTATATCATTTTGAGATTGCTTTATTTCGTCAACATTTTCCTTAATTGAAGTACAGAAGTGTTAAGATATCTGATCATGAGTGATCACTACCGCACGAGTGAATGACTTGCACGAGTGACAAACCCGGTTCAGAATAGCAGAATTGTCGTAACAGTCGAAAAAGTGCTATAATTCTCGGCATGAAATGGAAGCCATGTTTACTGAGATTTGGATGTAACTGAAAACTCATCATTTTCTAAATTCATATTTATTTACACGAAACGTCTCCTTGTCACTTGTGGTCATACGTGGTCCACTCGTAGCTTTGCTAAGTAGATAAATATAAAAGACTATATTGATTGCTCCATATATAACCCTAAAAACACAATGTTGTCTTACCTTCATTTGATTTACTCTAACATTTATAACATCTTGAGATTTCTTGATCTCGCCAACATTTTCCTAAATTAAAGTGTGTGCTTTAGGTCTCAATACCTATATGGAGCTTTTCATTCAACTCGAAGGTGTTAATGATATTGACAGGCTATAAAACACTGCAAGGAATAACTATAAACAATCATGTCTTACCTTCATTTCATCTTGTTTCCTTTCTATTTCTTCCATCTCAATTTTCACTTCACTTTGGAATTCCTGAATTACAGTATTAGTGTTAAAATGTGATCTCAGAGATCACACTGCATTCATTCTGACAAACTATGGTTAATATATGTTGACTATATAATTAGCTATCTTGCAAAATTTCTTTGTAAAAGTATGTCGATATCCACAAAGATAGCTGTTCATTGAGAGAGATACAATTACATAAAAAATCTGTTTGTGATTTTCAGGTAGTTGTTTGTCACTCAATCTGGAGCCGTGTTGTAGTCGTCGTTATCTACACTCACACAGATCGCTCGAGACGACTCTTACAAAACAATATACCTTTCCGGTAATTACGTCACGACTAACACTGTTTTCAACTTAGGACCGCCTTAAATGGAATGGATTTTAAGTTTGTTTCTCACGGGCTATGGTCAGAGGAGCAGAACATCCTTCTTCAACACATGCATAAAAAAGAATTTTGGATTTTGACCAATAAATGTGGAAATAAACTTAAACTCGAAAACGAGGCCGAGGGGCCAAAAGGGGCCATTTCGTGTTTAAGCTTATTTCCACATTTTTCAAGCTTATTTCAAAATCCAAAATCTTTTTTATGCATGTGTTGACGAAGGATGTATCTATTCCATTTAAGGTGGTCCTACGTTGAAAACAGTGTAGTTGGGACTTAATTACCGGAAAGGTCTATTACAATGGATTGCCATTGAAATCTGGTCTTACCTTAATTTCGTCTTGACTTGCTTTTATTTCATCTTGGCTTGCTTTCATTTCGTTTTGACTTGCTTTCATTTCATCTTGGCTTGCTTTCATTTCATCTTGGCTTGCTTTCATTCCATCTTGACTTGCTTTCATTCCATTCTGACTTGCTTTAATATCTTTGCAGTCGTGACATTTGGCGATTCTAAATTGGCAAAGATTTTTTTCATGGTTTTCTTTATCTCGTCTATTCACCTCGGTCCCACATCCTTCATTTCCACACATGACGGGCGCGAATCCACATTGATCGACATGTCTTTGAAGATCTTCAAGCCGGACAACGTCAGGACAGCCACGATCATGGTGGTCGCACTTGATTTTCAGATCTTCTAAATAATTCTTCAAAAATCTTGTAGGACGTTTCAGGGTTTCTGGAGTCAAGGGGTCTCTGCAAACTGGGCATGTGTGAGAATTTTGATGAAGATGTCGCGATATATGAGCCAAACAAAATATATGGTCTTCATTCTGGCAAACTCTTGGGTCCTTTGGCACATCTTGGCAAACAGAACAGAGCAGATCTTCTCTCACTTCGCCTAGGAAACGATTGACATCATAACCTTGCTCGTCGTCGTTCATAACTTCAGAACAGAGCAGATTTTCTCTCACTTCACCTTCTAAACGATTCACGTCATAACCTTGTTCGTCGTCCATTCGGCACGCCATTGTTGGACGTCTGAAAGATTATAAAAGAGTTGCAGGATACAGAACTATAGATATGGATGTAGTACTTGTCATAGTCGCTAGTGTATGTGGCATTTTCAAACAAAACCGAATATAATAATTATCGATTTACTAGCAATAAAACTCAATTCTTTCCAGTACATTACGTTTGCCAACAAAATGAGAAAATTTTGATCTTCCTAAATGATTTAGTTATCCATTAAGTAGGTAGGCAGGTAAAATTTTTGGGGTTTACTGAGCACAGTGAAACAGTACAGTCACTGTAGTAATATATTATGTATAGACAATAAACTATAGAAAAAGTGTTACCTGATTAATCCTGGAAAGAATGACTTTTAGGTGCTTGCCATGGAAATCAGTGGTCGATATGAAAAGATTTTTTCAAAAATTTATCTGTTGAAAAATAAAGAAATAGAAATGTTAGGTGATTGTTCATTCGTTGATCAATCGATGTTGAGGCACAATTGTTCATTTTGGGACAACTTTCTTTCCCTAAATTCCCCTGGCTTGTAAAACATATATAAATAATTTTTCTGTGTTGGTGTAGTGTACTCAGGTGAATATGATGCTTGTGATGTTACTCTGAGTGTAACACCGGGCAAGTTTGAATAATATGCCTGATCACGGTGGGAATCGAACCTACGACCTTTGGAATACTAGCCCAATGCTCTGCCAACTGAGCTACGCGGTCAGGACGGTTCGAGTATGTGATATTTCGGAACAGAATCTAGTTCCTTCGATATCAATGTAATCTAATAATCAGTAATGATTTTTCTGTGATTATTACTACTGATTATTAGATTATTAGATGATATCGAAGGAACTAGATTCTGTTCCGAAATATCACATACTTGAACCGATCTGACCGCGTGGCTCAGTTGGCAGAGCATTGGGCTAGTATTCCAAAGGTCGTAGGTTCGATTCCCACCGTGGCCAGGCATATTATTCAAGCTTGTCCGATGTGGATATACACTCAGAGTATGAGATCACAAACATCATCTATAAATAAGCTCATAAGCAGATCGAAAATTGCGATTCGCCTTTCAGTGGTATTTGCGAATTAAAAATTCGATAGTTGCAAATAGAAATCTTAATAATTGCTGAAGAGAAGAAGAAGTATGGCGAATTTTGAGTAATTTTTCCGCCACTTAAAACATGAATAAAAAAATGGAAGGGAAATAGCCCAAGCCCGTTTATATAAAATGCTAAAAAAATGCTTGACATAATATGCAGTACTTTAGAATCCTTTTAGAGAATAATAGTGTTATAGCTACAACTTTTAAAATATCAACAGTCGTCGTAAGGAAAAAACAAATTTTATAATTCCACAAATATTCATAGCCTTAGGTCATTTAATATTTCAAATATTATTTCAAACTAACTTGCGAAATTGAGGATTTTGATAAATGGCTAGACATTTTCATAAAAAACTTGACGCAACTTTATAAAAAAGCATTTTTACAGTCTTGAATCTAGTAGGGTTGATTAAAAGTATCTGAAGCGCCAAAATGATTGGGTAAATTTAACGATGAACAATTTTCAATTTCCATTCAGGATGAACCAGGGGTATAAATAATGAATGAAAGAGCGCATGGCAACAAAAGACATCGCATCTTTGACGATACCGAAAACCAGAAGAAGGCGAAAAAACGAAGATTTTGGACATCCCGGAAATTGATGATGGTATTAACAGGAAGTGAATAAAGCATGTTTGGAGTGAATGAACTACATGAACTGAATGCAGATATTATATTTCACGAAGACAATGCACAAGATAGTCAAGATAACGACATTATGAAAATGAATTTGGATTCCTATAAAGCAGCAAGAGGATTTGTTATTTATCCCAATTGCCTTCGAAAGAATCTGTAGGAAAGGTAAGCGATAAATACATGTGTAAGATAATTTAACACTTTTATTTTGTGATGTTTTGACACTGTTGTCCTATTGAAAATGGTAAAAGTTTGCAAAAACTTGCTTGAATCGTCGTCAAACACAGCAAAACTATAGTTTAATATATTTCCCTCGCTTTGCATTTGCCAGTTTAGCAAATTTGATGTGAGTGTTTGAGTTGTATATTAATATTTCAAATTTTATTTAATTAATATATTCTATATCGAATAGATGGAGTACATCTTTCCATTAAATTATTTTGAGGCTACTAGATTTCAGTGGTTCCATGATGAGATTTCGGCAATATTGAACAATTTTTGAATTTGGTTTTGCATGGATTGAAGAATTATTGATACCAAAGTTTGTTTTATCAACAGAAGCCAAAGGCTGAGTTTCACTGAGAGTTTCACCGTTGGCTGTTAGCTAATCAGAAAACACAAATCTTTTAAATAAATAACAATAATTCAACTTGAAACAGATTGATAAAATGTTTATTCCCTGTAGTGATAAAATAATATTGCTGAATAATTTCACAGAATATGTTTTAAAAATAATGTCCACATCTTGGGTTTGCAGCCCAACCAACAGCAACATGCTACATATTGCACTGTTACATTAATATATCATGTCAAACATAATCCTCACTATACAGGGTGTATAAAAAAAAGCGCAATCCTCAACAGAAATGTAAATTGCTAAACAAATAATAGACGAAAACGTTAAAGTTTACATTCATTTTAAAGCGTAGCCATTCAGCTTTCTGACAGTGGGTTGTTTCTTAAATTTGACTCATTGGTTCGCGGGTAATAATACTTTACGTTATTGCGATTGGAGATTAAAAAAATTGAGATGGAATAACAAATCGTTCTTATGAAAATAACTGATTTTTTCATTAAAACAAAAAAATGTTGCATTTTATTAAATGGATTGTAACAATAAGTATACTTACGGCTTTTCTTCCACTATTTTTAACTCAGTTTGAAACTTCAAATGCGATATAATTTTGGCTTGGACCATCTAAGCTGACTGACATCAACTTGCTATAATTTCTGTTTACATTACATCGCAATTCGATGACACTCTGGCTCAGACACCACAACGTTTTGACGATTTTTAGCATTCGTTTAGGATTTTTAAACAACCTGGTCTCTTTTAAAATACTTTAAATTTGTTCTTACGTGGTTTTCCAGATGTAGTGACGACAACAAACATAGGTGCATTTTGTCTGCGCATGTGCGGAAATCGTTCCGTGCGATTGCAAATGGCGGACTTTAAAGGGTTTGTGAGTTTTGTCACGGTTTTTATGACAAATATGGACTGAATTCTTGTTCGATCTCTCAGAATTCGTGTTAATCCTACGCAGATAAGAGTATTAGTTTTATTACAGTTTAATTCTCTCCAAAATTCATGGTCTTTCGTTTAAATTTTCGTCATTTGCTCGACACGATGCTTGCCTTTATAGTCCCCATTTCTATAGTCAGTTGAGCTTAATATGTAAGTTACTCGCTTGTTTAGCGTGTTTTCTTGTTTTAAATAGGTTTATAATCTTTCTATGGTTGGATATTCTTGAATAGTATGAGTAATTATGAAAATAATGAAAATCTACTGCCATAATTTTTGGATCAATATGGCTGTTTGCATTTGGTTGAATAGAGATCTTGTAGTAAACCCTATACCGTTGCTTTAGGTTGAAATTTTCCAAAATAATATATTTTCCTGCAAAACTTTTTTTTCTACTTTCTCATACTGGTTGTATTAAGTGTTAAAAATGTTGCAAATCCCTGATCCCTGTTATATGCAAATATATTGATGCAATACAGGATCTGGGAGAAGAACCCAAATTCCAAAATATATAACAAACTTCTTTTTGTGTGTGGTGATAAACAAATCAGAAGTGAGTCATACAAACTTTCCCATATTTTTTCCACAAATTAGATCAGGCGTTATGATGGAAAGGACGTCAAGTTTGATAGCAAAAAAATTTGGAAAAGGGTACTTTTAGCACAATCATGTCGTCAGCCCATGCTCCAAACATATATGGGACTAGCTACGTGACAGTAAGTTGTAAAAATATTTTTTATTGTGTATTGGTGAGTTTTCAGTGATAATTTTTTGTTGTAGAGCAAGGTGTTATTCCATTTTGTTAAATTTACAAGATTTAATGTTCAGATGAGGTATTTATCTGAACAAAAATATTGTTATAAGATTACCATTTCTGGTCACAAATACTAAATTATGGGGTTTAATTGACCTTCAAGGTGAATAAATAGGAATTCTGAAAAATCTGTACATACAAACTTCACTAAAACAGTATATGTTCTTCCAAATCATCTGTCTCACAGCTTAAAAGTGTTTGATCATCTGGAAAAATTTGGAAAAGTACTCATTTTTAGCATCATATAATGTAAATTAGATATAAAGCCAGAATATTCATTCTCGACTTATTGGGTAGAGTCGAATATAATCTCAGACAGATTTGAGAATCGAAACAATTTAACGTGCCAGTCTCATAGCAGCATGGTTTGTATGGCCAAACATAACAAGGCTAATTGGTCGACATTCCCCACTATAATGGTGGCTCCTTTCTTTTACCCAATAAGTTGGGAATGAATATTCTGGCTGTATATCTAATTTACATATATGATGCTAAAAATGAGTACTTTTCCAAATTTTTCCAGATGATCAAACACTTTTAAGCTGTGAGACAGATGATTTGGAAGAACATATACTGTTTTAGTGAAGTTTGTATGTACAGATTTTTCAGAATTTCTATTTATTAACCTTGAAGGTCAATTAAACCCCATAATTTAGCATTTGTGACCAGAAATGGTAATCTTATAGCAATATTTTTGTTCAGATAAATACCTCATCTGAACATTAAATCTTGTAAATTTAACAAAATGGAATAACACCTTGCTCTACAACAAAAAATTATCACTGAAAACTCACCAATACACAATAAAAAATATTTTTACAACTTACTGTCACGTAGCTAGTCCCATATATGTTTGGAGCATGGGCTGACGACATGATTGTGCTAAAAGTACCCTTTTCCAAATTTTTTTGCTATCAAACTTGACGTCCTTTCCATCACAACGCCTGATCTAATTTGTGGAAAAAATATGGGAAAGTTTGTATGACTCACTTCTGATTTGTTTATCACCACACACAAAAAGAAGTTTGTTATATATTTTGGAATTTGGGTTCTTCTCCCAGATCCTGTATTGCATCAATATATTTGCATATAACAGGGATCAGGGATTTGCAACATTTTTAACACTTAATACAACCAGTATCAGAAAGTAGAAAAAAAGTTTTGCAGGAAAATATATTATTTTGGAAAATTTCAACCTAAAGCAACGGTATAGGGTTTACTACAAGATCTCTATTCAACCAAATGCAAACAGCCATATTGATCCAAAAATTATGGCAGTAGATTTTCATTATTTTCATAACTACTCATACTATTCAAGAATATCCAACCATAGAAAGATTATAAACCTATTTAAAACAAGAAAACACGCCAAACAAGCGAGTAACTTACATATTAAGCTCAACTGACTATAGAAATGGGGACTATAAAAGGCATCATCGTGTCGAGCAAATGACGAAAATTTAAACGAAAGACCATGAATTTTGGAGAGAATTAAACTGTAATAAAACTAATACCCTTACCTGCGTAGGATTAACACGAATTCTGAGAGATCGAACAAGAATTCAGTCCATATTTTTCATAAAAACCGTGACAAAACTCACAAACCCTTTAAAGTCCGCCATTTGCAATCGCACGGAACGATTTTCGCGCATGCGCAGACAAAATGCACCTATGTTACGACAACATTAAAGTTTAAAGAAGAAAATTCTAACATTTAAACCGACTAAACAATAACATAGTAAACTTGCATAATTAAACAGCAACTAAAAATGATAGGTTTTACTAAATCTTTTCCTGTGCAATTATTACCAGCATTGGAGACAAGGATAATAGTTTGTTTGAAAGAGAAAAGAACAGACTCTGAAGTAAGCCTAAAAGCGTTTAACTAGAAATAGTATTTCGAAAGTTATTAAGCACAAAAGATGAATTGCGTTTATTTTGATACACCCTGTATATCTGTCCAAATTTTATTTGTAGAGTTGGCCAAATCAATGTTAACCTTATTTAATTATGATATACAAAGCTGTTTGAGGGGTTGGTTGGGGGATTTGCATAAAGGCACCTGGATACTTATAGTTTTATCACTGTAATGTCAATATACATGAGGTTGTCTTAGGCTTTGCATGGATACGTGGAGTACGCATATATCTCTTCAGGGCCCACATACAAATTACTGATACAAGCTACCATAGAATAAAAATAACTAGTTATAGTCACAAAGTCACTTAGAAAATTTTGTGACTATACATACTTAAAACCAGTATGCTCATGAGCATGCTCAGTATATATGCTCATGAGCACACTCGTATACCAACACCGCGGAAAAACGTCTGCGCATGCACCAAATTATGAAAATATGGCGGGGAATTTGAATATCAATTTCTAAAACAAAAACATGCTTATTAATTGGTCAAAAATTAGTAAAACAAACGAGAAAATATAGCAAATGGGTAGACTAGACATTAATTGAAAGCGTCCTTGCATTTAAAGTATGGAAATTGTCATTGCTTAGTTGATAAACAAAATGTTTCAGACGATAAATTTGTCAACAATCACCTTTAGTTCATGTTCTTGTACAATACAATTTCTTGAACCTTCTGGCTGTATTTATTTCTAGTTTTTAGAATGACATGTTTATTTTTGCGCTCGAAATCTGGCTGTAAAGACGCACAATGAAGTCACTCCTTTTTACCGCCATTTTGAGCCTTCGGAAACGTTCGGAACAGCTTCTCATCAAGTTCACAGGTAAGGTTGACGCATGCGCAGACGTTTTTCCGCGGTGTTTCGTATACCTACCTAAAAAAATATGCTCATATACCTACCTAAAACTGCTCAGGAGAACATTCGTATACATACTTAAAATGTATGACTATATTGGGACTATATAGTCAAAAGGTTAGGTTATGTTAACTTGGTCAGTTTTTATTGAAAGAGGGGCTTATGCCTTACATAATTATATACAGTTGAAGAATGTGAAAGTTTGTATGTGATACTAAAAAGTTGGATCAAGTCGATTGATTGTAGGTCAAAAATAAACACAATTTATGTACTACGAATATCTATAAGTTAACATGATAGCAAAATCTAGTTCTTGATATACGTGATGTTGTACTCTAGCCCATCCCTAACTGCACATGCGCATCAGTTCAAGACATAGTATTAAAACAAACAATGATTTGGCAGATTTGCTATGAATATAAAAAGTCTATATTACTGCGAATATCAAAATATAGATCTAGTGTTTCTGAAGATCGAATAAGGCAACATCTATTTTCCTTTATTCAAACACCAAACATGAACTGTAGCTTTATATGAGCGTTTACTCGAAGCGCAACATGTCAGTGCTTATGTTGTATACCAAATATTTCACAATATTCTAGTATTTATATTTTATTCCATAAAGCCTAATTTCTACTAGTCCTCGCACGAAGCAACTCACTATGGGCTATTGCATCTCATTGAGAAGGACTTACAATTAGAAATTTCGTACATTGAGACTCTGATCGTACGAAATCTGATGAATTCAGAACCGTATACATCACGCATTTAATAGTTCGCTTTCATGTGTTCACACGGGAATTGGTACGGTCAGCTGGGCTCTAGTTGGTCTGGTTTGATACGTCCTAGGAGAACACTCATGAGAAATCATGAAAACTTGAGTATGGTCTGAGACTACGTTCAATGCTCAAGTTTGAACTTTCTTGCTTTGCGTTCCACGAAGGCGGACAATTCGAGCTCAGATAACCGCACGAATTCCCGTGTGAATAGATGAAACTCGACAAATTTGCGCTCAGTTGCGATCTCGTCAGCTCTAGTGTGAATGTAATGCAGAAATATGAACAAACCTACCAGAAATTTTCACAGCAACAATGTTTCTCCGAAGGTCGTTCGCACTGTAAAACATTAATGCCTTGATGTTTGTGATGCCTTTCTTTCTGAATATATTACAAAACATCTGGCGTCTGGTTGCGGTCTGGTGATCAAGCTTTGATCTTAAGTGGCTTTCTGATTTCCTGTCTAGGAATTTTCAAAATATATTATTGATCTATTTAACAGAAATAACAATTCTACACAATTCTATTATGAATATAGAAGTTACATTTTAATCATTTTAATATGTATATATAGCTTAAAAAGTTCAAAATATGGCATTTCTTGTTCTCAGATATATTACGTCATTTCGTGGAAGCGATATTTATTTTTATGTAATGGTCTCTGTGTAATAGTATACCGAGAAATGGGGCAACGTCACAAGAGTATTCCGCTATGACGTGAGCAGGATTAGCATTATATTGAGGATTAGGGTTGTAGTTTTACAAGAGGTTGGGATTTGGATTTTGGTTGGGTTTTTCCTAAAACAACATTAGTGTCCTGTATTTGTCTTAACTTCAATGGAAGTGAGTTTCATGCTGGAACAATTTTAACTGCGAATGATTTTCAGTGATTTGAACAAACACTTGACACGAAGTCAGTGAAAGAAAAACAGACATCGGGGGAAACATTCCCGGGGAAAATACCCTAAAAACACCAATGAAAAGTACCCCGGAACAAATTACCATGGAACAAATGTCGCGGTGGAAAATACCCCATAAACACATGCACAAACCAACTTGACAGTCTTACCAGTTTTACCAGATTGTAGATGTGTCTTGGCTGCGAAAGTGTGTTCGCGCGAGCTTTACGGGCCTTTAGTTGCAAAGTTACAAGCCTGTTGTTGTGCATTGGTTGCAATTTAACGCAAGTCAGAAAAGATTGTATGCCTTGGCTATAAGTAACCCCTATAACGCAACAATAAAATGCGAACACACTTTTTTCAGAACAATCCTCGAGAAGGGTAAAAATGATAGTTTGACAGGTTTTTAGCGAAACTTGGCGTTTAACGTAGATCGAGACGCGAACGGGTACCACAGACTTAACTTGTAGCAATATTCGGGAGAATTATTTTCTCGAATATTTTATAACGTTACATTATTCTACATCTATCTTGACTACATTGGGCGAAAATTTGATAGAAATTGGATAAAAATTCACCGAGTAATCGTAGATCTCCTGAAACGCGTGCCTAGGGTGTCCAGTAACTTTGTTAAAAAGCAGTCGCTGAAAGGGAAGAGAGAAATTAGGTTTGTTGTCTTGGAAACGTTCTCTGGCTTCGCAACGGAATTAATGTGTATTGCCAGAGGCCAATGGTAGAACAACTAATTCTACTGTTAAATGTCGTTTTCCAGTCAAAAGAACAAACTGAAAAAACTCAGTAAAAACTAACAAACGAATAAAAACAAGACAGAATAATATGCTCTGATATTCAGGAGGTGTGACACCACAAAACTCACAAAATTTTTTTTTATTATGACTATCCATTTATATATACTTATTTGAAATTAATTCAATGTTCTACTTCTTACTAATGTCAATGTTCAGATTAAAATGTTTTTGTTCAACAAACGATATATTAGCATGCTAAGGTTTCTTTTAACAAAACTACATGTTCAATATTTACACAGAGATTATATAGGTTATATCTAAAACTTTTACATGATTAAATTGATGAAAATCTTTGTTTAAACAAATACTAGTTATAGGAAAAGTAATTTATACATACAATATTTACATAGAAATTATACAAGTTATATATAAAGTGGAAACACAATACGCTTCACAGTAAAGTTAACCCACTGATCTAAAAACACTGGATAGAGTTTCCTTTTGTATTCAATAAACCAATTTTGAAGTCAGAATATTTATAATCAGATGAGATCTTAAAGTCTGTCAAAATCTCTGCAAATCGGATCACGACGTGTTTAAATTAGCTACATTATGAAGCAAATGTCTTTTCCTATGTCACTTAAAAATATAGCTTGCCATATTTCTTCTAATGAGTTTTAGAACGTTTTAAACACTAGATAATGAGAGTTGTGGCAGCCATCTTGGTGTGACATCAGTTATTCACGAGCAAATTTAAGGGGAAGAGAGGCCACTGTTGATAAATTTCTATTCAGACAATGTTTATCCTTTCTCAGCGATAACTAGAAACTGTAAGAACCTCTTACACTATGTCATCAACACCACAGTAGATTTGTGTTGCTCACATCAATATGCCCGACATTGCCTTCATTTCTGCATAGAGGATGCACTATTCAGTGATTTGAGATCAGAGAGTTAACCCAAGTGCAGGTCATTGATGATGGTTATAATTAATTTTCATGTCGTGTAGATACTAAATATGCAAATGAAAGAGAAATAAATAACATTGACTGAAGCCTGAGCATTAAACAACCCTGAACCGTAACCATCATTGAAGGGTTAGAACTCAGGGCCGGTGTTTTATGATCAGGTTTCAGTCAATGTTATTTATTTTCTTTTGTGTGCATATTTAGCATCTACAGGACATGCAATTATAAATCTGATTATCAACCCTCATGGCATAAAGTACCGTAAATGATCCAATAAACGCCCTGGGCGTTGATTAAATTTTCGTACCTTGAAGGGGGGGGGGGGAGATAAAGGCGTGTATTAAAGAGGGGCGTTTATTCTTACATACGGCATATCTAGGCTTCTTAAATAACACTTTCCAAGAGTTTGCAGAGTGAACGAAAGTCAAAATCTTCAACTTTCATAGCTCTTACATTCCATTACACCTATATACCCAACATTAATAATTTAATAAACGTTCAATCTGATAAATGTTTAATTATTAAATGATTTAAAATCTTGGGAGTCTCCAGTAGAGAGAGGGGCGTTTATCAATATAAGAGAGCTTTTAAAGAGAGATTCGTCTAGTTTAACAAAGTCTGGGTTGACCGATGTGTCTATTAGATAGAAGGTGTTTAATAGAGAGTGGGCGTTTATTGGATCATTTATGATATTTATGCAAAGACGAATAAGAAGTTTATATGAAGAGCTTTTCAGTTGCGAGGTTTTACTACAGCAGTTGCGAAATGTCTTTTTTCCTTCATTTCTGGTAGTTCTCTCCAATTATCATCTCCCATTGTGAAACTTTCTACTGAGTTGAGATACCCCTTCTTATTATATCCTCCCAATACAACAATGACGTCATGCATAATTACTGCTGAGGAACCATTCCTCTTGTGCATCAGTGGAGGCAACTTCTGGCTTTGTCCTGATTCAGTGTCATACATGGTGACTTCATTTAAGACCTGGTCATTCTTATCCTTACCGCCAATAAGTATGACGTTGTTACCCCAAGTAACTGTGGACATTCCGGAGACAGGCTTGGGTAACGATGGACATGGTTTGAACTCATTCTTGATGAAATCATACACGACAACGCTATCAATGGCGTCTTTACTATGATTTGCTGTCCTTCCTCCCAAGATAAATAGTTTCCGATTTACAATCTCTGCTCTGTGGTTTTGTCTCGGCTGAGGCATTCTAGCCAGTGGCTTGGCAGTATAAGGCGGGATAGTAGACAGCTCGTAGATGTTTTCGTTTGTTTTGTTTTCATTCCAGTTATATCCTCCCATGACGTATAGTTTACCTTGATAAACTATAACGTCATGACCAAATAACTTGTCCGGTAATTTACCATCAAACATAATCCATCGCAAAGGATCCTGGTTCATCTTTAAAATTTCAATGCTGTTTGTACCACCTTGACCATCGTAACCGCCAGTGACGATGACGTCACCGTTGTAAACACATGATGCTGATCTTGCCCGAGGGTGATTTAGTTTTGCTACTCGAGTCGACTTCCCTTCTACCATGTTGAATTTCTCAACTGTATTCAATACACTTTCATCTCCTTGGGCATACCAACCGCCAAGAATAATAATGTCTTGGTTGTTGACTGGCACTGGTGGATCTAAAGCTTGAGCACCATTGTTGTTTATGTTTCTTCCTTGTAACAGCTGATTTAACATTTCTGTCATTCTTTCGAATTGGTTGCTTACCCCAGCTTCAAAGGCCACTTGATCTGCTTTCATTTCTGCTTGAATTTGCTTCATCTCGTCAACATTATCCTGAATAGTAAAATTAAAAACTTGCATATCTAGGTTGCGGTGTTAATGGTCAGAAATCTCAGAGATGACACTGCATACATTTTGATAAAATATGGTTCACGCAGTGAGTAAAAATAAATAAATCATAATTGTTCTGTTTTGTGAAAAACATCAGATTGATCGTTTTTTGACCAAGCTTGCAATCCGTAAGCTCAATTCTTCGTCAATAAATTCATATGTGCAATGATGAAAATCTTAAGCATAAGGCTTACAGCTTGAACGTTTGCAACGCTTTTAAGTAGACGTATGTAGCGTTTTTACCAGTGAAACATGCAGAATTGTTCGCATAATATGTCTTAAAAGTACCCAACATAATCTTGTTTTACCTTCATTTTATTTACTTTGACATTTATAACATCTTGAGATTGCTTCATCGCGTCAACATTTTCCTAAATTAAAGTAGAAGTGTAAAGATATCTGAGAGATGACCACAAATACGAATGACATGTACGAGTGACAAAAAAGCCGCTTCGGGATATATAGCAGAATTATTATAAAATGCGAAAAAGTGCTATAATAAATATCTTTGCTGAGATTTTAATTATACATTTAATCAAAGACTGATCATTTTCAATATTCTCATTTATTTACAGCAGACGTTAGTTTGCCACTCGTGGTCCACTCAGGGGTATTTTTAATCAGATTGAATTATAAACTGTGGTTAATACAGTAAGTAAAGACTAATCTTGTAATTGTTCTATTTTGTGGAAAACAGCAGATTCTGTTTGACGAATCTTTCCAATCCGTAAGCCCGGATATGAAGCAAATATTCATCAATAAAAATGTGCATTGATGAAGATGTTGACTTAACTTGGGAATGATAGCCTGTGTTCAGTCTACTCAACCGTTGTGTGTAGTGGACTGGAAGACAGGCTAGGGAATGAAAGGTTTGGCAAGTAGATAAATGTAGCTACATGAACTTAAAGAAGCTCGACACAATTTTGTCTTACCTTCATTTGATTTACTTTATCATTTATATCATTGTGAGATTGCTTCATTTCGTCAACATTTTCCTAAATTAAAGTACAGAAGTCTTAAGATATCTGAGATGTGACGCTGAACATGATCATGAGTGCGCATGACTACACGAGCGAATGACCTGCACGTGTGATAAACTCGGTTCAGAATCGCCATACAAGTTTGCAAAGAACAACTAAACAATCACGTCTTACCTTCATTTCATCTTGTTTCCTTTCTATTTCTTCCATCTCAATTTTCACTTCACTTTGGAATTCCTGAATTACAGTATTAGTGTTATAATATGATCTCAGAGATCACACTGTATATTCATTGTGACAAGCTACGGTTAGGCCTAATATATATTGACTATTTAATTAAATATAATTTTAAAAGAATTTTACAAAATTTCTTTGTAAAAGTACGTGGATATCTACAAAGATAGGTGTTCATTGAGGGAGATACAACTGCATCAAAAATCTGTTTGTATAATTTTCAGATTGTTGTTTCTCACATTTTCAGATTGTTGTTTCTCACGTTTCTCAAGATTGTCGTTATCTACACTGACACAGATCGTTCGAGACGATATCTACAAAACAATAGACCTTTCCGCTAATTACGTCACGACTAACACTGTTTTCAACTTAGGACCACCTTAAATGGAATGGATTTTACATTTGTTTCTCATGGGCTATGGTCAGAGGAGCAGAACATCCTTCTGCAACACATGCATAAAAAAGAATTTTTGATTTTGACCAATAAATGTGAAAATAAACTTAAACTCGAAAACGAGGCCGAGGGGCCAAAAGGGGCCATTTCGTGTTTAAGCTTATTTCCACATTTTTCAAGCTTATTTCAAAATCCAAAATCTTTTTTATGCATGTGTTGACGAAGGATGTATCTATTCCATTTAAGGTGGTCCTACGTTGAAAACAGTGTAGTTGGGACTTAATTACCGGAAAGGTCTATTACAATGGATTGCCATTGAAATCTGGTCTTACCTTAATTTCGTCTTGACTTGCTTTTATTTCATCTTGGCTTGCTTTCATTTCGTTTTGACTTGCTTTTATTTCATCTTGGCTTGCTTTCATTTCATCTTGGCTTGCTTTCATTTCATCTTGGCTTGCTTTCATTCCATTCTGACTTGCTTTAATATCTTTGCAGTCGTGACATTTGGCGATTCTAAATTGGCAAAGATTTTTTTCATGGTTTTCTTGATCTCGTCTATTCACCTCCGTCACACATCCTTCATTTCCACACATGACGGGCGCGAATCCACATTGATCGACATGTCTTTGAAGATCTTCAAGCCGGACAACGTCAGGACAGCCACGATCATGGTGGTCGCACTTGATTTTCAGATCTTCTAAATAATTCTTCAAAAATCTTGTAGGACGTTTCAGTGTTTCTGGAGTCAGGGGGTCTCTGCAAACTGGGCATGTGTGAGAATTTTGATGCAGATGTCGCGATATGTGAGCCAAGCAAAATATATGATCTTCATTTTGGCAAACTCTTGGGTCCTTTGGCACATCTTGGCAAACAGAACAGAGCAGATCTTCTCTCACTTCGCCAACGAAACGATTGACATCATAACCTTGCTCGTCGTCGTCCATAACTTCAGAACAGAGCAGATCTTCTCTCACTTCGCCTTCTAAACGATTCACATCATAACCTTGCTCGTCGTCCATTCTGCACGCCATTGTTGAACGCCTGAGAGATTACAAAAGAGTTGCAGGATACATAATTATATAGATATGTATGTAGTACATGTCATAGTCGTTAGTGTATGTGGCATTTTCAAACAAAAACCAAATATAATAATTATCGATTTACTAGCAATAAAACGCAATTCTTTCCAGTACATTACGTTTGCTAACAAAATGAGAAAATTTTGATCATCCTAAATGATTTAGTTACCCATTAAGTAGGTAGGCAGGTAAAATGTTTGGGGTTTACTGAGCACAGTCAAACAGTATAGTCACTGTAGTAATATATTATGTATAGACAATAAACTATAGAAAATGTGTTACCTGATTAATCCTGGAAAGAATGACCTTTAGGTGCTTACCATGGAAATCAGTGGTCGATATAAAAAGATTTTTTCAAAAATTTATCTGTTGAAGGATAAAGAAATAGAAATGTTAGATCATTGTCCATTCATTGATCAATTGGTGTTGAGGCACAATAGTTCGTTTTGGTTTTCCCTAAATTCTCCTGGCTTGTAAAACATCTATGAATAAGCTCATAAGCAAGTCGAAAATTGCGATTCACTTTTCAGTGGTATTTGCGAATTGGAAACTTGATAGTTTCAATCGAAATCTTAATAGTCGCTCAAGAGAAGAAGTATCGCGGATTTTGAGTAATTTTTCCCGCCACTTGCAAGGGAAATAGCCCAAGGCTGCTGATATAAAATGCTAACAAATGCTTGACATAATATACTTCAGAATCCTTTTACTTTTAGAGATTAATAGTGGCGTAGCTACAACTTTTCAAATGTCAATAGTTGTTGTAAGGAAAAACAAATTTTACAATTCCACAAATATTCATCACAATTCTTTTAGATTATTCAGAGTTCAAATATTATTTCAAATTAACTTGTGAACTTGAGAATTTTGACAGATGGCTAGAAATTTTCCAATCTCGTTCCCCGAGCCTGCGATCCTCGGGAAGGAACGTGAGGACCCAGAGGCTATTCTGTGCCAGAGATGAGGACCTGGGATAATCCGTTTCAGCGAGGAATCTAATTGGCCGTTGAAATGGAATGCGCAGTTCAATCTTAAGGTCCAGACACACCGGATGCGATTCGACCACGCGACGCGATTTTTCGATTTTCACAGACCGATAACTTTGATTCTAGTTAAATTTTCCAAATATTTACAAGCGGTGTAACATTTTGAGTTATTTGGTCCACATATCTTTCAAAATTTATTCTCATTGACTGTTTTATTAACTTTCAAAAACTAATAAATCGCGTCGCGTTGTCGAATCGCGTCCGGTGTGTATATGGACCTTTAGCCAGGATTCCTGGCTTCCGGTAGCGTATTATCCCAGAGCCTTTCGGAGCCTCGCGTTTCTTCCCGAGGATCGCAGGCTCGGGGAACGAGATTGGAAATTATCATAAAAACTTGACACAATTTTTATAAAAAAAGCATTTTTACGATGCTGAATTTAGTAGGGTTAGTTAAAAAAGATCTGAAGCACAAAAATGATTTGGTAAACGAAAAACTGAACAATTTTCAATTTCTATATTCAGGATGAACCAGGGGTATAAATAATGAATGAAAGAGCACATGGCAACAAAAAACATCGAATCTTTGACGATACAAAACCCAGAAGAAAGCGAAAAAACCCGAAGATTTTGGACATTCCGGAAATTGATGATGGTATTAACAGGAAGTAAATAAAGCATGTTTGGAGTAGCCTGCGAGCAGGCTCTGTCGCAGGCTAGTTTGGAGTGAATGAACTACATGAACTGAATACAGATATTAAATTTGACGAAGACAATGTACAAGATAGTCAAGATAACGACATTCTGAAAATGAATTTGGATTCCTATAAAACAGCAAGAGGATTTGTTATTTATTCCAATTGCCTTCGAAAGCATCTGCACGAAAGGTAAGCGATAATTAACAATTACTGGATGAAGTTTTTTGTGATATGCGGAATTATCAATTTTATATATTTTATATGAGTTATTTCAAATAGATGGAAAACATGTTTCTATTAAATTATTTGGAGGTCATTATATTTAGTACCATGATGAGATTTTGGCAATATTGAACAATTTTTGAATTCGGTTTTTGCATGGATTGAAGAACTATCGATGCCGAAGTTTGTGTTGTTTACAGTAGTAGCTGAAGGCTGAGTTTCACTGAGAGTTTCACCGCTGGCTTTTAGCCAATGAGAAAAGACAAATCTTTTAAATAAATGATAGTAATAAATTCAATTTGAAACAGATTGATAAAATGTTTATTCCCTTTACTAATAAAATAATATTGCTGGAAGAACATTTCACAGAATATGTTTTAAAAATAATGTCCACATGTTGGGTTTGCAGCCCAACCAACAGCAACATGCTACATATTGCGCTGTTACATTGATATATCATATCAAACATAATCCTCAGTATATATCTGTCCAAATCTTATTTGTAGAGTTGGCCAAATCAATGTTAACCTTATTTAATTATGATATGCAAAGCTGTTTGAGGGGGGGGGGGGCTGGTTGGGGGAGGGGGTTTGCATAAAAGCACCTGGATATTTATAGTTTTATCACTGTAATGTCAATATACATATATACAGTGCTCTACATATCTCTTCAATGCTTAATGAAAGGGCCCACATACAAGTTACCGATACGAAGCTAGCGTGGAATAAAAATAACTAGTTACAGTCACAAAGTTTCTTTAAAAATTTTGTGACTATGCTCATGAGCATACTGGTTTTAGGTATGTATGCTCATATACGTAACTAAAATCAGTAAATGCTCATGAGTATATGCTTATATCTTACATAATTATATAAAGTTGAAGAATGTGAGAGTTTGTATGTGATACTAAAAAGTTGGATCAAGTTGATTGATTGCAGCTCAAAAGTAAACACAATGTAGATACTAGGCATTTCTTAAAATTAACTTGATAGCAAAATCTAGCTTTTTGACATACGTGATGTTGTACTCTAGCCCATCCTTAACTGCACATGCGCATTAGTTCAAGACATAGTATTTAAAACAAACAAGGATTTGGCAGATTTGCTATATGAATAGTCTATATTAGTTATTACTGCGAATATCAAAATATAGAATCTAATATTTGTGAAAATCGAATAAGGCAACATTTCTTTTCCTTTATTTAAACACCAAACATGAACTATATAGCTTTATATGAGCGTTTACTTGTTCGCGCGACATCTGCTTATATGTTGTCTACCAAATATTTCGCAATATTCTCGTATTTATATTTTATTCTATAATTACTATAATTGAAGCGTGATTTCTATTAATCCTCGCACCAAGCAACTCGCTAGTGGCTCTTGCATCTCATTAAAACTATGATGACTTACAATTAAAATTTTGTACATTGAGACTTCGATCATACGAAATGTGATGAATTCAGAACCGTACATCGCATTAGTTCGCTTTCATGTGTTCACCGCACGGGAATTCGTACGGACAGCTGTGCTCTAGTTGGTCTGCTTTGATACGTCCTAGGAGAACACCCATGAGAAATCATGAAAACTTGAGTATGGTCTGAGACTACGTTCAATGCTCAAGTTTGAACTGTCTTGCTTTGCGTTAACACGCGACCCATGAAGGCGGACAATTCCAGCTCAGATAACCGCAAGAATTCCCGTGTGAATATAAAATGAAACGCGACTAATTTGCGTCCAGTTGCGATCTCGTCAGCTCTCGTCTGAATGTAGGCCTAATGTAGAAATATGAACAAACTTACCAGAAATTTTCACAGGAACGATGTTTCACTGTAGATAAGGTCGTTCTTTCTGTAAAACAATGCCTTTCTATCTGAATATATTACAAAACATCTCGTGATCAAGCTGTGATCTCAATTGGCTTTCTAACTTCCTGTCTAGGAATTACACAATTTTCAAAATATGTCGATATATTTCACAGAAATAACAATTCTACATATCAGTTGTTATTATTATGAATATACAAGTTACATTTTAATCATTTTAATGCGTATAAGTTACCAGTTTTACCAGATTGTAGATGTATGTCTTGGAATTTTAGGGCGGGCGAAACGTAGGTCTGTTTTCAGGCTAGTCTTGGCTGCGAAATTGTGTTCGCGCGAACTTTACGGGCCTTTAGTTGCAAAGTTACAAGCCTGTTGTTGTGCTTTGGTTGCAATATAACACAAGTCGGAAGACTGTATGCCTTAGCTAAGTTACCCCTATAAACGCTACAATAAAAAGCGAACACACTTTTTAGAACAATCCTTGGGAAGGGTAAAAATGATAGTTTGACAGGTTTTTAGTGAAACTGGCGTTCAACATAGATCGCGGCGCGAAGGTACCACAAACTTAAACTTGTAGCAATATTCGGGAAAATTATATTTCTCATACATTTCATAACACTGTGTTATTCTTCATCTATCTGACTACATTCGGCGAAAATTTGATAGAAATTGGATAAAAATTCGCAGAGTAATGGTAGACCTCCTGAAACGCGTGTCTAGGGTGTTCTGTAACCTTAATTTTCTTAGGTTTGTTGTCTTGGAAAAGTTCTCTGTCTTCGCAACGGAATTAAAGTGTATTGCCAGTGATCAATTAGAGAGAACAGCTAACTCTACTGTTAAATGTCATTTTCCAGTCAAAAGGGCAAACTGAAAAAACTAAAACTAACAAACGAATAAAAGCAAGACCGATAATATGCTCTGATATTCAGGGGGTGTGACACCACAAATACAAAATGATCATATTGATCGCCATCAAAATTCACAAAACAAATAATTTTCATTATGACTTTACATTTATATAGAGTACATATGCTTATTTCAAACTTATTCATTCCACTTATTTCTAATGTCAATGTTCATATTAAAATGTTTTTGTTGAACAAAAGGTATATTAGCATGCTAAGGTTTTTTTCAACGAAACTACATGTTCAATATTTACACAGAGATTATATAGGTTATATCTAAAACTTTTACATGATTAAATTGATGCAAATCTTTGTTTAATTCTAGGAAAAGTAATTATACATACAATATTTGCATAGAAATTATACAAGTTATATATAAAGTGGAAACACAATACGCTTCACAGTAAAGTTAACCCACTGATCTCAAAACACTGGATAGAGTTCCTTTTGTATTCAATAAACCAATTTTGAAGTCAGAATATTTATAATCAGATGAGATCTTAAAGTCTGCCAAAATCTCTGCAAATCGAATCGCGACGTGTTTAAATTAGCTATACATTCCAGGTGATCTTGATACGCGGAAAAGTACTGGCACTAGTTGTCAAATAGAAATCCATTTTATGATTAAAACAACTGAATATCTCCTGTAATATACTTTATTTCGATTCCAAATTTTGGTCAGAGCTATAGTTCTCATAACCAAACATAATTACAAAATTTCAACTAGTTTCATAAAGAATAATGAAAGATATAATTGACTGAATACATCAAAATGGATTTCTATTCGGACAACCCTTTCTGAGCGCTGATTGGCTAAAATACGAACACGAGATCACCTGGATTATGAAGCAAATGTCTTTTTCCTATGTAACTTAAAAAGTATAGCTTGCCATAAATCTTCTAATGAGTTTTAGAACGTTTTAAACACTAGATAATGAGACTTGTGGCAGCCATCTTGGTGTGACATCAGTTATTCACGAGCAAATTTAAGGGGAAAGAGAGACGACTGTTGATAAATTTCTATTCAGACAATGTTTATCCTTTCTCAGCGATAACTAGAAACTGTAAGAACCTCTTACACTATGTCATCAACACCACAGTAGATTTGTGCTGCTCACATCAATATGGCCGACATTGCCTTCATTTCTGCATAGCAGATGCACTATCCAGTGTAGGTATGAGATCAGCGAGTTAACCCAAGTGCAGGTTATAATGATGATGATGATGATTATGATGATTATGATTATAATTATGATTATTATTATTATTAATTATTATTAATTATAATTATGATGATGATGATGATTATGATGATTATGATGATTATGATTATGATGATTATGATGATGATGGTTATAATTTCATGTCGTGTAGATACTAAATATGCAAATGAAAGGGAAATAAATAACATTGACTGAAGCATGAGCATTAAACAACCCTGAATCGTAACCATCATTGAAGGGTTAGAACTCAGGGCCGGTGTTTTATGATCAGGTTTCAGTCAATGTTATTATTTTCTTTTGTGTGCATATTTAGTATCTACACGACATGAAATTATAAATCTGATGATCAACTCTCATGGCACAAAGTACCGTAAATGATCCAATAAACGCCCTGGGCGTTAATTAAATTTTCGTACCTTGTAGGGGCGTTTATTAGATAAAGGCGTCTATTAGAGAGGGGCGTTTATTCTTACATACGGCATATCTAGGTTTCTTAAATAACACTTTCCAAGAGTTTGCAGAGTGAACAAAAGTCAAAATCTTCAACTTTCATAGCTCTGACATTCCATTACACCTATATGCCCAACATTAATAATTTAATAAACGTTCGATCTAATAATTGTTTAATTAAATGGTTTGAATCTTGGAAACTTTCTAGTAGGGAGAGGGGCGTTTATCACATACGAAGCTTTTTCAAAAAGACAGGCCCCTTTTTTTACAAATTCTGGGTTGACCGGGGTGTCTGTTTGATAGAAGACGTTCATTAGAGAGGGGCGTTTATTGGATCATTTATTATATTCATGCAAAGGCGAATAAGACGTTTATATGGAGTACTTTTCAGTTGCGAGGTTTTACTACAGCAGTTGCAAAGTATCTTTTTTCCATCATCCCTGGCAGTTCTCTCCAATGAACATCTCCCATTGTGAAACTTTCTACTGAGTTGAGAAATCCCTCCTCCTTGTTCCATCCTCCCAATACAACAATGACGTCATGCATAATTACTGCTGAGGGACCACTCCTCTTGTGTATCAGTGGAGGCAACCTTTGACTGTGTCCTGATTCAGTGTCGTACATGGTGACTTCATTTAAATCCTGGTCATTCTTATCCTTACCGCCAATAAGTATAATCATGTTACCCCAAGTAACCGAGGACATATCACAGAGCGGCTTGGGTAACGATGGATATGGTTTGACCTCATTCCTGGTGAAATCATACACGACAACGTTATCAAAGGCGTTTTCACTAAGGTTTGTTGTCGTTCCTCCCAAGATAAATAATTTGCCATTTACAATTTCTGCTTTGTGGTATCTTGTTGGCTGAGGCATTTTAGCCAACAGATTGGCAGTATAAGGGGGGATAATAGACAGTTCGTAAATGTTATCGGTTGTTTTCTTTTCACTCGCGCTATATCCCCCCACGACGTAAAGTTTACCTTGATAAACTATAACGTCATGACTAAATAATTTGACCGGCAATTTACCATCAAACATCATCCATCGCAAAGGGTCCTGGTTCATCTTTAAAATCTCAATGCTGTCTGTACGACCTTGACCATCGAAGCCGCCAGTGATGATGACGTCACCGTTGCAAACACATGATGCTGATTCTGCTCGAGGGTGATTCAGTTTTGGCAGAAGAGTCCACTTCCCTTCTGCTATGTTGAATTTCTCAACTGTATTCGATGGCCATACACTTCCTTTTCCTGGGGCATAATAACCGCCAAGAACAATGATGTCTTGGTTGTTGACTGGAACTGGTGGATCTAAAGCTTGAGCACCATTGTTGTTTGCATTTCTTCCTTGCAACAGCTTACCGAACATTTCTGTCATTTTTTCAAATTGGTTCCTTACCTCTGCTTGAAACGCCATTTGATCTGCTTTTATTTCCACTTGAGTTTGCTTCATCTCGTTAACATTGTCCTGAATAGTAAAATTGAAAACTTGCATATCTAGGTTGCGGTGTTAATGGTCAGATATATCTCAAAATACATAACTCATAATTGTTCAGAATGCTGGATATGAAGGAAATTTTTTATCAATAAAATGTGCATTGATGAAGATGTCGACTTAGCTAGGGAATGATAGCTTGTGTTCCAGTCGACTCAACCGTTGTGTGCATGTAGTGGCTTGGAAGACAGGCTGGGGAATGAAAGGTTTGGCAAGTAGATAAATGTAGCTACATTAGCCTAAAGAAACTCGACATAATTTTGTCTTACCTTCATTTCATTTACTTTATCATTTATAACATTTTGAGATTGCTTCATTTCGTCAACATTTTCCTAAATTGAAGTAGAAGTGTTAAGATATCTGACATGATCATGGGTGACCACGACCGCACGAGTGAATGACCTGCACGAGAGTGAATGATCTACACGAGCGAATGACCTGCACGAGAGTGAATGATCTACACGAATGATCTACACGAGAGTGAATGATCTACACGAGCGAATGACCTGCACGAGTGAATGACCTGCACGAGAGTGAATGATCTGCAGGAGAGTGAATGACCTGCAGGAGAGTGAATGATCTGCACGAGAGTGAATGATCTGCACGAGAGTGAATGACCTGCACGAGAGTGAATGACCTGCACGAGAGTGAATGACCTGCACGAGAGTGAATGATCTGCACGAGTGAATGATCTGCACGAGTGAATGATCTGCACGAGAGTGAATGACCTGCACGAGAGTGAATGACCTGCACGAGTGAATGACCTGCACGAGTGAATGACCTGCACGAGAGTGAATGACCTGCACGAGTGAATGACCTGCACGAGTGAATGACCTGCACGAGAGTGAATGACCAGCACGAGAGTGAATGACCTGCACGAGTGAATGATCTGCACGAGAGTGAATGATCTGCACGAGTGAATGACCTGCACGAGAGTGAATGACCTGCACGAGTGAATGTTCCGCACGAGAGGAATGATCGCACGAGAGTGAATGATCTGCACGCGAGAGTGAATGACCTGCACGAGTGAATGACCTGTACGAGAGTGAATGACCTGCACGAGAGTGAATGATCTGCACGAGTGAATGATCTGCACGAGTGAATGATCTGCACGAGAGTGAATGACCTGCACGAGAGTGAATGACCTGCACGAGTGAATGACCTGCACGAGTGAATGACCTGCACGAGAGTGAATGACCTGCACGAGTGAATGACCTGCACGAGTGAATGACCTGCACGAGAGTGAATGACCAGCACGAGAGTGAATGACCTGCACGAGTGAATGATCTGCACGAGAGTGAATGATCTGCACGAGTGAATGACCTGCACGAGAGTGAATGACCTGCACGAGAGTGAATGACCTGCACGAGAGTGAATGATCTGCACGAGAGTGAATGATCTGCACGAGAGTGAATGACCTGCACGAGTGAATGACCTGCACGAGAGTGAATGACCTGCACGAGAGTGAATGACCTGCACGAGAGTGAATGACCTGCACGAGTGAATGACCTGCACGAGTGAATGACCTGCACGAGAGTGAATGACCTGCACGAGAGTGAATGACCTGCACGAGAGTGAATGATCTGCACGAGAGTGAATGATCTGCACGAGAGTGAATGACCTGCACGAGAGTGAATGATCTGCACGAGTGAATGATCTGCACGAGTGAATGACCTGCACGAGAGTGAATGATCTGCACGAGAGTGAATGACTTGCACGAGAGTGAATGACCTGCACGAGAGTGAATGACCTGCACGAGAGTGAATGACCTGCACGAGTGAATGACTTGTACGAGAGTGAATGATCTGCACGAGTGAATGACCTGCACGAGAGTGAATGACCTGCACGAGAGTGAATGATCTGCACGAGTGAATGACCTGCACGAGAGTGAATGACCTGCACGAGAGTGAATGACCTGCACGAGAGTGAATGACCTGCACGAGAGTGAATGACCTGCACGAGAGTGAATGACCTGCACGAGTGAATGATTTGCACGAGAGCGAATGACCTGCACGAGCGAATCACCTGCACGAGCGAATCACCTGTACGAGCGAATGACCTGCACGAGTGAATGAACAAACCCGGTTCAGAATAGCAGAATTGTCGTGAAAGGCGAAAAAGTGCTATAAAGAATATAATTCTTGGCATGAAATGGAAAGCCATGCATGTTTACTGAGATTTGGATTATAACTGAAGATTCATCATTTTCGTAATTCATATTGATTTACACGAAACGTCTCTTTGTGACTTGTGGTCATACGTGGTCCACTCGTAGCTTTGCTAAGTAGATAAATGTAACAGACTATATTGTTTGTTCCATATAAGCCTAAAATTGTATCTACACAATGTTGTCTTAATTATCAGATATCTCGGAGATGACACAAAAGGTATGCATACCTTTTGATAAAAGATAGTTCACGCAGTGAGTGATTCCTCCATATATAAGCCCAAAAGAATCTCTAAATAATGTTGTCTTACCTTCATTTGATTTACTTTAACATTTATAACATCTTGAGATTTCTTGATCTCCCCAACATTTTCCTAAATTAAAGTATATATCCTTCAGCTCTCTAAACCTATATGGGGCTAGCTTTTCATTGAACTCAAGGGTGTCAATGATATTGATTGCCAATGAATTGATTGCAAAGAATGACTAAACACTTACCTTCATTTCATCTTGTTTCCTTTCTATTTCTTCCATCTCAATTTTCACTTCACTTTGGAATTCCTGAATTAAAGTATTAATGTTAAAATGTTTCTCAGAGATCATACAGCATTCATTCTGACAAACTATGGTTAATATATATTGACTATATAATTAGAAATCTCGCAAAATTTCTTTGTAAAAGTACGTGGATATCTACAAAGAAAGCTGTTCATTGAGAGTGATACAACTGCATCAAAAATCTGTTTATAATTTTCAGGTTTTTTCACTCAATCCGGAACTGTCTTCGAGACGATATCTACCAGGATTCGCACAAAACTTGAAAGTCCTTGAATTTATAAAAAAGTGCTTGAAAGTCGTTAAATTCTTCATGCTTTAGTTTCTGGATATTTTCTAAAATTGTTTCACATTAAAAACGAAGATGTTGCTGAATTGATTTTGTTTATGTCCAACAAAACTGTTTGCAATTCATTAAAGTTGTCATTTGAACACCAAGTTAACGTTACTTTTAGTGATTTCTAACTTCATTCCTTTTGTCCTCGAATTTGCGAATACATGGCTTTGAAAGTCCTTGAAAAGACCTTGAATTTTACTCTTCTTGACTTGTACGAACCCTGTGTTTTACTACAAAACAATTATAATGATTGCCATACAAACTTAATGAAAGAGACGAAGAAAATTAGGTCTTACCTTAATTTCATCCTCCATTCGTGTGTTCTGAACTTTCATTTCATCTTGACTTGCTTTCATTTCATCTTGACTTGCTTTCATTCCATTCTGACTTGCTTTAATATCTTTGCAGTCGTGACATTTGGCGATTCTAAATTGGCAAAGATTTCTCTCATGGTTTTCTTGATCCCGTCTATTGACCTCGGTCCCACATCCTTCATTTCCACACATGACGGGCGCGAATCCACATTGGTCGACATGTCTTTGAAGATCTTCAAGCCGGACAACGTCAGGACAGCCACGATCATGGTGGTCGCACTTGATTTTCAGATCTTCTAAATAATTCTTCAAAAATCTTGTAGGACGTTTCAGGGTTTCTGGAGTCAGGGGGTCTCTGCAAACTGGGCATGTGTGAGAATTTTGATGGAGATGTCGCGATATATGAGCCAAACAAAATATATGGTCTTCATTCTGGCAAACTCTTGGGTCCTTTGGCACATCTTGGCAAACAGAACAGAGCAGATCTTCTCTCACTTCGCCTACGAAACGATTGACATCATAACCTTGCTCGTCGTCGTCCATAACTTCAGAACAGAGCAGATCTTCTCTCACTTCGCCTTCGAAACGATTCACATCATGACCTTGCTCGTTGTCCATTCTGCACGCCATTGTTGAACGTCTGAAAGATTACAAAAGAGTTGCAGGATACAGAATGATAGAGATGGATGTAGCACATGTCATAGTCGTTAGTGTATGTGGCATTTTCAAACAAAAACCGAATATAATAATTATGGATTTACTAGCAATAAAACGCAATTCTTTCCAGTACATTACGTTTGCTAACAAAATGAGAAAATTTTGATCATCCTAAATGATTTAGTTACCCATTAAGTAGGTAGGCAGGTAAAATGTTTGGGGTTTACTGAGCGCAGTCAAACAGTATAGTCACTGTAGTAATATATTATGTATAGACAATAAACTATAGTCAAGAAAATGTGTTACCTGATTAATCGTGGAAAGAATGACTTTTAGGTGCTTGCCATGGAAATCAGTGGTCGATATGAAAAGATTTTTTCAACAATTTATCTGTTGAAGGATAAAGAAATAGAAATGTTAGATCATTGTCCATTCATTGATCAATTGGTGTTGAGGCACAATAGTTCGTTTTGGCTTTCCCTAAATTCTCCTGGCTTGTAAAACATCTATAAATAAGCTCATAAGCAAGTCGAAAATTGCGATTCACTTTTCAGTGGTATTTGCGAATTGGAAGTTTGATAGTTGCAATCGATATCTTAATAATTGCTAAAGAGAAGAAGAATCGCGGATTTTGAGTAATTTTTCCCGCCACTTGCAAGGGAAATAGCCCAAGGCTGTTGATATAAAATGCTAACAAATGCTTGACATAATATACTTCAGAATCCTTTTACTTTTAGAGAATAATAGTGGTGTAGCTACAACTTTTCAAATGTCAATAGTTGTTGTAAGGAAAAACAAATTTTACAATTCCACAAATATTCATCACAATTCTTTTAGATTATTCAGAATTCAAATATTATTTCAAATTAACTTGTGAAATTGAGGATTTTGACAGATGGCTAGAAATTTTCCAACCTCGTTCCCCGAGCCTGCGATCCTCGGGAAGGAACGTGAGGACCCAGAGGCTATTCTGTGCTAGGCCTGATCGCAGGTTAATTCTGTGCCAGAGGTGAGGACCTGGGATAATCCGTTTTAGCGAGGAATCTAATTGGCCGTTGAAATGGAATGCGCAGTTCAAGTTTTAGGGCACTGCCTGTCCAACTAGATTGGATAAAATAAAAACTAAACAAAACAAATGACTTCGTGCAATCTTTTTCTCAAGAACAAACGAAAATGTAACGGCCTATTTTCAACTTCTCGAAATACTGAAACTTGAAAATATCTTTAACCTGAAAATATCATCTCTTGTTTATAAAATAATAATTAGGAAAACAGAAGTTCCTAAAGCCTTATTAAATTTAACTATGGAAGCATCTGACGTTCATAGTTATAACACCAAATATGCCTCCAAGCGGAACCTATACAGACCAGCTTCTAGAACAAATTATGGGCTAACCGATTCTGATTAAGGTCCAGACACACCGGACGCGATTCGACAACGCGACGCGATTTTTCGATTTTCACAGACCGATAACTTTGATTCTAGTTTAAATTTTCCAAATATTTACAAGCGGTGTAACATTTTGAGTTATTTGGTCCACATATCTTTCAAAAGTTGTTCTCATTGACTGTTTTATTAAGTTTCAAAAACTAAAAAATCGCGTCGCGTTGTAGCCTGCGCGCAGACTATATAATGACATATATATATATATATATATATATATATATATATATATATATATATATATATATATATATATATATATATATATAAACTTCATTTTAATGAATCGATAGTGAATACGATATACAAGCTTTTACTTTGAATCATTATGCATTTGTGACGTAATTTCCGGATATTTGCATACCAAACAAACTGACATATCTCAGAAACAAAGTGACGAAACGGAAATCTTTAAAATAAGTTGTTACATCATTTCAGAAGTTTTTTAGAATGAAATGATAAAAAGAATTGAGGTTAGGTGCACTATAATTTTCGGGCCCATTTCCACTACACATCTTTTTTCCTGATTTATATATACATGCGATCACACGATAACATGTCAAAGTTAGATAACCCTTTTTATACACCCTATATACAGGGGCGTAGCATGACCTTTTTAACTGCGGGGTGTAACATCTAAGTTTTACCGACCCACGCGCCACGAGGCGCCACCATGGTTGGCGCCGACCGGGAAATTTTTGAAAATTTTGAGTCTCTAGATCGTTGGAAATGGCATTTTCAGAGCCTTCTGTACCTTATACACACAAGGTTTGGTAGCTTTTATTTATATCAAACAAAACCATATTGTTGAAGTTGTGTTATTTTCGAAATCCGTGAGAATCCGTCAGATATTAACAAGCTGTGAGACTGTGAGTGTGAGCTCACCGTGAGGTTTTATTAGAATCCGTGACCGCCCCTTATACGCTACATATAACATATACCATAACAGCTATACAGCAATTGACAAATAAATATTTCGGCGCGCGTTTAATTTAATGACACTTACCGTGACTTTAGTCAGCCGTCTAGAAATAACGTAGAACCAGAAACGTAGCAAACGCTTTATTAATTGGAATAATTGTTGTCTTTGTTACTTCGCGATAAGTCATTTTACCCAATGGCATTTATCTTGTTGTTTATTGTAATGAACAGACTTGAAAAATTGGAGAAACATTTTATGAGCACCGCGTGTCAATAACAAATATATAAATATAATCTTTAATTCTTTGCGTATCATTGTATCAAGGTCAAAAGTTCGCGCACAGTTGAACATGTCCAATCAGAACCGACTGTTTTCGCAGCTCTTGCAAGTGTAATACGATAGGAAATTAGGGGCTCCAATGCTTATGCGTAGATATTTAATATAAGTGTTTTAATACTGAAGAATTACGTACATTTTGCATAACTTTATCGGAGAACAAGGCACAACATTAATTTATTTTTTTTTATTATTAAAAGCCATTTACCGAGCAGCAAAATTCCACTTTAACCGATTTGTTTTACCGACCGCTGTCATGGCTCTTGCCATTACCGAATAACTTCGCGTTTTACCGACTACCTCACTAAAACTGGGGGGTGTCGCACCCCCCCACACCCCCCCGCACGCTACGCCCCTGACAGTACCTTCTGTATCTTTCGCCTCCATTTTCGCGCCCTTTTGCCAGCAATCCTTAGCCTGAATGGCGGACGGTCCACCCGCGAGGAGGACGAAGATCCCATGACGCACTGCGAATCAGATCAGAAAAGCTCCAACAATGCAAAAGGAACGGGAAAATTATGATCTGGTTTATGATTGAATCCAAAAAATCCACGTCTCTCAACAGATTGTTTGGATTCGAATCCAGTTTAGGATTTTCAGAAATGGAACAGTTAATCTTAAATCTGATTTCAAAATCCTTTTCTGGATTGAACAAAAGGAATGCGACTTAAGTAGACCAAAAGCACAAACTAATTATGGAATACAAACAATACAAACATTTAAATTTATTTCATCACAAATTTGGGAGTCTACTAATCCTGAAATCAAACAATCAAATTCAATGTCAATATTTAAAATAAGATATACTCAATTCCTAATTATTTCACAAACACACCCCTTCTAATTCCTTGAAGCAATGATATTATATTTAATTTGTCATATTTATATATCTTGTTAAAGTTTCTCTAAAATCATTTAATGAGGCAGTGATCAACTTGAAAGCTTATTGCTACTTTGATCACTGTGTGCAATATGTATTATATATTTTTTCCTTCTTTTTTCAATAGTATTATGTATGTATCTTATCTAATTGTCTTTAAAAATTTGTGTGTAAAAAATTGTATGAAATTCATTAAAAATTCAAAAAGAATATCACAGCTTTTCCCAACAGTCGGGATGTTTTTGCTATTTTTTTGAAGCGAATGTTTCGGAGTTTTAAATAAGTTTTAACTTGTCTGTGAATATGTTTGACACAGTAAAATAATAAAGAAATCCTATCTTTCAATTCTACTATGTAGGTCACATTAAAAATGAAAATAATGAAGAAGTACAGGACAAGGATATCTCCCAAATGCCTTTGACAAACATTTCATAGAAGTTGCCCAGCGACTGTCTCGGAATATTCCTATAACCAACAAACAACCTGAGGCCTACATTAACATTTCAAATGCTTGTTTCCCAGCCTAGACCTTCTATTTTTATTATTGTTTTTTAATATTCAGTGCTTTTTCACATGAAAAGACTGCGACTAGGTGATTTGGGGGCTGGGCAGAGGATGGACACAAGCCTGACGCAAGCGAAAAAATAGAAGGCCTAGTGGATTTCCCAACAACAAGGCCAAAACTGCCTGAAACTGCCCTGATTGCGAAATGCCCAATTATTGCGTTCTCAAACAGAATTATTTGCAACTTAACAGCGAATTTAAACCGATACAGGTAAAATAAACTCATTTATAGTATAAACTCACTATTTTATTTGTATATACGTCTATAAAATCGGGTTTTTTATCATAAAGTTCGAAGCAACACTATTATTATGTTGACAGAGTGTAGCGAAAGCTCAAAATACCAAAAGTAGAATCTTTCATGAAATTTTATCTTTTACACAACTACATTAATATATATTTTCTCAATTTTGGCAAGAAGCAGCCTTGTGTTTGTAAAATATACAAACACATATACAATTATTAAATAAAACGGATACATATATTATTAGCCCGTACAGTGTATAAAACGTACATTGTTTACAAATGGTATATCCATAATAATTGAACAATAATGTCAAAATCCTCATTCCCGATTCGCAAATATAGTTTACTAGTATTCAAAGCAAAACAGTAGATTGTCTTGTGAATAAAGGAATTTTTTCAAGTCAGTTTACAAAATTGTTGGAACTACTTTAAAGGCCTTTAAAGATGTTTAATACAATTTAACGCAACATTTATAAACTAATAATAGGTTAGTTTAGTCATATAAAATGTTTTTATAGTTAATGTAATAACTACTGGACAGTATAAATTGCTTTAGTTGTTGGTTTCTGATCAATTTCGGATCAAGAAGTTATGGCCAACTTATGGGGCTAATTTGAGAACTTGTGAAATTGACTAGGCCTTTACGAGGCAAATGGCCATTGCGCTAATTACCAAATGCTAGCCGGAAATTGACCAAACCTGCCAAAGATACCTGCCAAAGCCAGCCGAGTAAAGGCCTAGCCTAGGTCTAGGCTGCTCGTTTTCCATTTCCAAGAGGTATCCCAACAAAAAATACTAATCTTTTATTGAATATTGCCACAAATAAGGCAACAGGTCCAGATAAAATATCTGCTAAACTTGTAAAAGTAGCAGCACCATTTAACTTAATTTAACAAATCGTTATCAGAGGGTACAATTTCCACACGACTGGAAAATCTCTGCAGTCACACCAATTTACAAAAATGGACCCAAACATGACATGAATAATTATAGACCAATATCTGTGATCTCAACTATTGC